TATTTTTTTAAAAAAAAACAAAAAAAAAACTCTATCAAACTCTAAAATCTATCTAATAAAATTTAAAGGGTTAATTACAATGACACCCCCTGAGGTTTGATGTATTGCTAGCTATATACAAGTTGGAGCTTTTTTGAACAATGACACCCTTATTAAAAATTGCATCCAAACAACCCCTAAAAGGTTATGAAAAGTCGAAATTGTCCTTTAATATTTTATTCCTATTAATGAGAAAATGTCAAAACTTTTTAAAGACCAAATTGCCCTTTGTGTGAGATCAATACCAACCACCCAATTTTTTCTTTCCTCGTCATCTTTTGTCTACCCAAACCCACCGGAACACTCACCATCACAGCCACCACCCGACCACCACTTCTTCACCCATAACCTTTGGATTCAAAATTTTGATGGAAACATTCATAGTTCATGAGATCGCTCGAGATGAGAGAAGATTAGATCGTTTGGAACTTTTGCAAGTCTTTATCTTGGGCTTCGGTGATGGTGACGACCACGGCGACGAGATTGGGTTTCGATGATGGTGACTAGCTGGCAGCGGGATGACACGGCGGTGATGCATTTGCGACGTCGACGGCATCTAGGGTTATATATATATATATATAAAGAGAAGTGGTGGATGTGGCTGTGGGTAGCGGTAGTATGGTAGGTGCTTTTGGGAGGATGGAGAGAACAGAGAGAACTTGGGAAGAAAGGGAAAAAATTATTTGGTCAATTGATACACCTGTGGTATGGGCGAGGGTGGCGCCGCCGAGGCCGATGCACTCGAGGCGGCCGCCGGTGTTGCAAGATAAGCGGCTGCCGATGTTATTGCAGCCAGTGTTAGGTCAGCGTCGGGAAGGATCTCGTTCTTGAACTTACCGGATCTCTTAGCGATGACTTTCGTCTACGTGATGACCTCGTGATCTGCCGTGGGGAACCGCACCTCAATTTGGGGGTTCACCGCCGCTGCCAACAACTCGACCTTCGCCCACGCAAACACGAGCGAAGCAACAACTACCGTTGAAGATGATTCACGAGACGCCGATAGCGCCAACGATGTCGGGGAACCACCGGACCTGCGGTGAAATGTGTCGGTGAAGAGGCAGTCGGGGCGTCGACTAAGGGGGAGCTGCTTGAGGGGTTCTTGGAGGATGGAGATGATGGAAGGTTGATGTCGTCGACGATGGGGATATGAACTGAGAGTCTTATGGAGAATCCATGATCGTAGAGCTGATTGAATCAGAGTCTTGAACCTAATGAGAGTGTATAGAGGAAGTTGGGAGGAGAGAGAACATAGATGGCGAAGATGTGCTGAAGTCATATTTTCTTAGATGTGTGGCTAGGATTGTCTGGGACCACAAATTGGTTTGAGGTTAAATTGGTCAATTGAAATGATTAGAAAGGTTAAAAAGGTAATTTTATAATTCAAATGGGTTAATTCACAAGTGAAAGGGCATTAAGGTCATTTTAGCTTGTCTGGGGTGTCTTTGTTAACGTTATCAAACTTGATGGGAGCTTATTATTCAAAAAGAGGTTAACTTGTATATGATTGTTATTATGACAAACCTTAGGGGGTGTCATTGTAATTAACCCAAATTTAAAATAACATATTTATCTATTGATTATTATGAATTTTTTAGTAAAAGAAAATTGAATTAGACAAGAATTATTAATATAAAAAATAATTATTAATTGATATATAAAATAAAATAATTATTCTAAAACTCTACCACAAATTAACTTTTATTATGAGTTTCTTAATAAAATTAAATTTAATTAGACAAGGATATATTTGAAGAAAATAAAATATTAAATGTGCAAAGAGTTTAACTATTTTAGTATTTATTTATTTATATAACAAATATTTATTAATTGATATGAAAAGAGTTTTTGTAAAAAAAAAAAATAATAATAAAAGAAAAAAAAAAAAAACTCTATAAAACTCTAAAATCTACCTAATAAAATTAAAATTAAAGTATTTATCTAATTATTATTATGAATTTTTTAATAAAAGTAAATCTAAAGTTTCAGTATTTATTTAAAAAATATTTATTAAATGTGGAATGAGTTTCAGTATTTCAATATTTATTTATTTAAATAAAAAAATATTTATTAATTGATATGAAAAGAGTTTTTACAGAAAAAAAACTTCTATAAAACTGTAAAATCTATCTAATAAAATTCAAATTAACCTATTTATTATTATGAATTTTTTAATAAAAGAAAACCTAATTTTCTGGTAAAATACAGAAGTTGTGGCAATGTGTTTAAGTATTTATTTATTTATATAAAAAAATATTTATTAGTTGATATAAAAAAAGTTTTTATCTATAGTATTATTACATGTGCAAAGAGTTTCAGTATTTAACTATCTATTTTTATAAAAAAAATATTTATTAATTGATATGCAAAGAGTTTTTATAAATAAAAAAAAAATGTCAATCAAACTCTAAAATCTATGTAATAAAATTTAAGTTAATTAATTTATGTATTTATTATTATGAATTTTTTAATAAAAGAACATCTAATTAGACTAGAATTATTAATATATAAAATATTTATTAATTGATATATAAAATAAAATAATTTTTCTAAAGCTTTACCATAAATTAACTTTTATTATGAGTTTCTTAATAAAATTAAATCTAATTAAACAAGGATATATTTAAAGAAAATAAAATAAATTTTATAAAACTCTATCACAAATCATAAATTTTATTTTCAATAAAACTCTATCACAATAGATAAAAATATAATATTTAAAGTGTTTCTATAAAATTTTAACTCAAATTTTCTATTTATATATTTATTAAGTGTTTTTTAATAAAAGGAGATCTAATTAGACAGGTATTATTAATATAAATAATTATTTATTAATTGATCCAAAAAGAGTTTTTAAAAGAGTTTTTACCTATTTATCTATTTATTATGAGTTTTTTTAATAAAAGAAAATCTAATTAGATAAGCATTATTAAGATAAAAAAATATTTATTAATTAATATAAAAAGAGGTTTGAAAAGAGTTTCTATAAAACTCTAACACAAATTACCTATTTATCTATTTATTATGAGTTTTTTAATAAAAGGAAATCTAATTTAAAAAGAATTATTAATATAAAAAAATATTTATTAATTGATATAAAAAGTGTTTTTTAAAAAATTTCTATTAAACTGTAACACAAATTACCTATTTATTTATTTATTATAAATAGATTTCTAGAAAATATAATAATTTCTATAAAACTCTACCACAAATTATCTATTTTATTTTCTTTAAAACTCTATCAGATAACTTGTTTTTATCTATTTATTGTGAGTTTTTTTATGAAGGAAATCTAATTAAACAACGATATATTTAAAGATAATAAAATATTTTTTTAAAAGAGTTTATATAAAATTCTAATAAAAATTACCTATTTATGTATTTATTATGAATTTTTTAATAAAATATAATATAACTAGACAAAAATTATTAATATAAAAAATATTTAATAATTGGTATAAAAAATAAAATAATTTTTCTAAAACTCTACCACAAATTATCTTTTATTATGAGTTTTTTAATAAAAGAAAATATAATTAGACAAGGATATATATGTTTAAAGAAAATAAATAATTTATATAAAATTCTACCACAAATTACCTATTTTATTTGTAATGAAACTCTATTACATTAGATAAGGATATATTTAAATAGTTTTTATAAAATTCTAACACAAATTACCAAAACTTTACCACAAATTAAGTATTTTATTTTCTTTAAAACTCTATCACATATAACCTGTATTTATCTATTTATTATAAGTTTTCTAATAAAATAAAATCTAATTAAATAAGGATATATTTAAAGAAAATAAAACAATTTTTATAACCCTATCACATTAGACAAGGATATATTTAAAGAAAATATATAATAATATAATAATATATATAAATAAAATATAAATGTTAAAGAATTTGAACATTTCAGTAAATATTTTTTAATATAAAAAATATTTATTAATTAATATAAAAAGAGAACTCTATCACATATAAGTATATAACCACCCTTGTATTTATCTATTTTTTATGAGTTTTTTAATAAAAGAAAATCTAATTTTACAAAGATATATCTAAATAAAATAAAATATTTTCTATAAAATTCTATCACAAATTACATATTTAAAGAAAATAAAACATAACCTAGGGTCTTTCAAAAACCACAAACTCCATATAATAAATTTTTATATCAATTTCAATCTAATGTATAATTAGTATAATTGAATTTCTATTTTAAAATTTAATTAAAATTTAATATAAAAGAATTTCTGTTGTAAATTAAAAATTATACTAAATTTCAAATTATTTAATAAAATTCAAATTACAAATTACCTAATAAAATTCAAATTACCTAAAAAAAATTGTTACTTTGCAAAACTCAAATATTTCACTATTAAAATAAAAAATTATTATTTAATAAAAAATAAAATATACATATTTCAGTATTAATATAAAAATATAAAAGAATTTATTAATTTACGAAACTTAAACTCTATCACCAATTTCAAAATATTTCAGTATTTATTTATTAATATAAAATAAATTTTTATTAATCAATATGAAGACAAAAATTTTATAAGTTACAAAATATTTACCACGTGCATCGCACGTGCCTTTTCTTAATACATACATATATATATATATATATATACACTATTCAGTTTGGTCTTAAAAAATCTTAAATAGGAATCCAACTGTAAAGTAACAAATTTTTTATTTTTGGAATCAAAATCGAAATTCAACCATAGAAGAACGAAACTGAACTGATGGATCAGTTTGGTTGGATTCAATTTGATTCCTACGGATTTACGGGTTTCAATGATTTTGTGTGCAAAACATTTGGTGTACAATTTGAACCCATAACACCTAATAATATGAAAGACCCTTCAACTTTTACTTGATACACACACCCTTTCATTTTCTTATATATAACTTGAAATATATATATATATATATACCAAGAGATTTAGCTTCACAAGATCAACCCAAAAGTAAAATAACAAACAATTCACAAGTACATAAACCCCAAACACAGCTAGAAAACGAGACAATTAATTTCTGTAGTCATCACTTCTCTCTCTTACTCAGTTACTCTCTCTCCAGAACTTTGTCTATTTCAACCCCACCATTGGTGCACGGCAACACCCTCATCCCTCAACTTCCCATACAAAGCCAAGCACTCCCAATAAGCTCTCCTGCTGTTCTTACTCTTTTTACTCAGTCCTTGATGCTTACACTCCATGAACAGCTCATCCACCAACACTATAGCTCTGCTCTTCACCATCTCCTCCACCACCTCAGCCTCCGCCTTCATCACCACATACTCATCCTCATTCACATTCTCCCACAGCCACTCCGACATCCCGATCTCCGGCACCTCCTCGCCGGACTCCCTCCCGGCCGGCTCCTCCGCAGTCACCGTCTCGATCTTGTATATATCAAAATCCTTGTTCCTTGTTGGATAATGCTTCTCGAACCATCGGGCATCATTGTCCATCCCCGGTGTCCCCACGTGGATGAAAACCCTACGAGGGTAGCTCTCGAGGGAGTCGCCGGTCAGGTCCGGCAGGTACCGGGTTCTCTTCAGGTACCTCTTGGATTTCCCCGATTTGGCTCTCGGGGGCTCTAAGAGGACGTCCTCCAGGTTCTTGAGAGCTTCCTTCTTCGCCTCCGACGAAATCCCGAATAGCCTTCTTTGTGCAGGCATGTTTGTGTCCGTAGGGGCGGTTTTTCGCATGGCGATAATGGTCGGATCGAATCGCCGGAGATAAACAATCTTGTAGTTGGTTGGTTTCGGAAATGAAAATGATGGGTCGTCACTGAGCTGCACAGCCGCAATGCCACCAACTTTGAGAGTTCTATCAATGAAATCCGAAGCTGATTGGAAGCTATGAGCGAAAGCAAAGTCGAAAGTCTCATCAGGGACCAAGCTTTGTCTATCTGAATCCGAATACGAGATCATATCCATCTCATTGTCATTCAGAATTTGAGAATTGTACATGATTTCCTCATTGTTACCATCACTAACAAGAAGAGCTCTAGCACCGCCTTTCAGGAGGCCTTCGTTGGCCAAATCGTGGAAAAGTAATGGCAACAACTCCGCATTCATGGAATCAATCCCAACAAAGGAAGAATCAACATTAGCTTCGTCATTGAATTTAGATTTGGACGAGGATGATTTGGTTGATCCGAGCCAGGAAATTATAGAAACAATAATTAAAGCCAAAAGTAGAGCTCGAGCCATCACTTTCAAAATCCAAAAATGAGGAGACCTAATAGTATTTTTCAGGAAACGAGTGTTGTTGACTTTGTTGTGATGTTTGCTTCGAAACCCATGAACCAAATCCATGTTATTATATCTCGAAAAGAAATGAAAAGTGAGCAAGTTTGAAAAGTATAGCTGTAATTAAGGAAAAACAAAAACAAAGAAAAGTCGAATATGTAGTTACAAAGGTTTAAAAAAGATCAAATTAAGAATATGACACTGAACAAAAAACCAAAAAAAATTACAGACAGAACGAAAGCGAAAGCGAGGAGAGGGAGGGATTGATATAATGACTAGCGAGTGCAAAACCTGGCTGCGGTGTGATTCCCACCCACAAGGGCAACACGAGTACTTTGTATTCTTGACCACAAAAACATCAATTGTTTAATTCTCTCTACCTCCATTTCCTACCTATTTCCCTTCCTTCTAGCTCTTACCTCAATCGATGTCCTATACATGTTTGGCAATGGTTGCCATCGATTCAGAGAAAGAAGGAGGAGGGAAAATTAAAAAAAATGAGAGAATTTATTTTCCTACTTATTTTTTGAAATTTTGTTTTGGGTATGTGTAGCATACGTTTTTTTGGTTTTAAATTGGCATGGGAGGGGTTAGGATATGAGCGAAGGGAGAGGATTTCATGGAGGAGAGAGAAAGGGGAGAGAGAGAGATTTAGAAAGAAATGGTCGGTCAAGCGGGAAGTTCTGTTTGTGAGAAGGATGAACATATGTGTATTTGCATTGTCCATGCATGTTGACTCTATTGGGACAATACAGATATACATATAGATGATACTTGTTGGTGCGTGTGTGTATATATGGGTGTTTTTAACTGTCTCCTAGATTTTTGTTGTTTTAGTATCAATTTGAACCATATTAGGGTTGAAATATTTCTGGAAAAGCGGGTTTGTTCCACCCTAGCAGTCAGCTAAGCTCTCTACATAAAGAAAAGGTTCTAGATATATTTGATGTGATTTCATAAAGAATGTGCAAATAAAGGAAAAAGATTAGGAAAAGGCAATGTTGGCAAAATTAAATGAGAAAACTAAATAGGAAATATTTAATATTAATTATATAAAATGGGTTGGTATTCCTCACTTTTTGTTCCAGTTATATTTTCAACTACCAATTACTTTTCTTCTTTATAAGATACATAACAGTCCATTGCTTCCACAAAACTATCACTTGTTGGAGAGCATAGTGTCACGCTCCGCCTATGGAGGTACACGTAGGCGCTGAGTAGGACACTGCATGGCGAGTGGAGTTTTAGAGTCTTCTGGAGCTGTCTAAAGTTGAGTGGAAGATTCTAGATATGTATAGAAATGTGTAATATATTATAGAATTCTCCTAAATTGTGTGGAGTAGTATGGAGAGTTCTAAAATGTTATAGATACTTGTAGATATATATGGAAGTGTGAAGAAAGTGGGAGAAGATTCTAGAGAATTGATCTCTACCATCGGTTAGAATACATCATAGCCGTCCATTAGGGATGGGGATCTCTATAAATAGGAGTGGGACTTCATTTTGTAGATATCAAGTCTTAGAGTGAGTATTGAGAGCCTTGTAAAGAGTTTGAGAGCTAGCCTTGTACAAATTAAGCATTCTTTGAAGTAATAGAAGTGTTCTTTCCTTGCCAACTTAAATGCCTTAATGTGTGTGAGTGTGCAAGCCAAGTAAGGAGAGGGCGAGGGCCACTACAACACTAGTAAGCGCATGAGCGGAGTGCGTTGGCTAAGGTGGGAATGAAAGTTAGGCTGACTAAGTACTTACAAGAATAGAAGCAACGTCTTGGTGCTGCACGGGAGTAGCTAGAGTGGTGCTGAAACTCTAAGCCCATGACAATAGGGTTTATATGTATGTGTCTCAGAATATATGCTTTGTTCCATAATTGTACGTAGGTCAAGAACTCCAATACCTCCTTCATTCTTTGTTATACACACTACATCCCATGGGGCTTTGGCTTTGAACCTAGATTGACATACAAAGCCATGTCCACAAGAATTTTTTTGCATGATTTGGTTCATTTGAGTTATTATTTTAGATGGCAGGATAAACAGGGTGGTCTAGAGGATGTGCATACTACTAATGGCATAGCCAGGAATTTCTTTCTGTGGGGGCAATCTTTAATAGCAATAATATATATATATATATATATATTGCATCTATTGCTATTAAAGATTTATTGCATACTACAAATATATATATTATTGCATACTACAAATGGTGGCTTTGATGAGTTGCAGCCTCACTGCATAGGATAGTGATCTTGCAATCCAATAAGTAATTCTAGTTAAAATGTCGTCCAGAAGAGTTAGACAATCTGCACTTATGAGCCTTGTGGTAATTAAGGGAATTCTAAGGTATTTAATGGGTAGAGAGCCAATTGGAAACTAAAAAAGGTTAGTGATGGTCTGTTTAGTGTTCACAGGAACTGCGCAAAAGAAAAGGTGGCTTTTGTTGGAGTTAGGGTTCATTCCTAAAAGGTTTGAAAAGGTATCAAGATCGAGCCTTCTTTAAATTAAGTATATGCAGAGTTAAAATACCCATTGGAAAACATAAGAATGTCATGTGCAAAAGAAAGATGAGAGATTTTGAGAGTCTTGCATCTCTAATGATGGATGAACTGAGGATTAATGGAGGTTATTTGATTAGTTATGGATGAAAAGATATCCATAGCTATCACAATAAGGCAGGGGGTAAAATGTAACGATCCACTCCACCACATGGTATTATATTGTTCGCTTAGGCCCGAACCCATACGGTTTTACTCTTATACTTTACCCCAAAAGGCCTCGTACCAATTGGAATGACACACCATATATAACACTTTCCCTTTTCACACCCAGGCGATATGGGATTGTGCACCTGTAACTCGTCCAGTGTGGTAGCCTACTAGTGTTTCTTGCACAACCTACAAGGTCGGCACAATCATCCCCTCTTGGAGCCCAATGCCCCCGTTGGCCACACTTCTGGCTGGGTCATTCTCTGATACCATTTGTTATGACCCAACAATTTGTAACGATCCACTTTACCGCATGGTATGATATTGTCCGCTTTAGGCCTGAGCTGCTTGCACGATTTTGCTCTTGGGTTTTACCCCAAAATGCCTCATACCAATTAGAGTGACACACCATATATAGCATTTTCCCTTTCCACACCCAGGAGATGTGGGATTTTGCACTTGTAGCTCACTCAGTGTGGTAATCTGCCAGTACCTCTTTCACCCACCCACGGCACATCCGCTCACAAGGTCGCCACATAAAGGATCCCATGTCTAATGTAACGACCCGATCATTTTCCTTCCTTTCCTTTTCTCAGATTTTACGAATATTTTTTTTTCTGTTGTTTTTCTTTTTCTGAGTTCGATTTTTCGTCTCTTGGTGTCGTCTCGAGTGCTCGGGAATGGTTTCCAAGACTCTTTCCTTTGGATTAACAACTTTCTTGTGAGGACCGAGTCATTTCCTCATTTTCATTTTTTGGCACTATTCACCTTTCGTCTTTTTCTCGGTTGTCACTTTGTTGGCATAACCCCACTTTTCGTGTTCGGATTTGATTCCGGTTTTGCATGCATCCGCGATATTTAAATTCCATACTATGTGTATTTTCACTTTTGTAGAAAAACATGCTAAGTGTTTACTTTTCTTGTAAAGGGTATATGTGCATAACCTTTTTGTAATTTTCTAAACTTTTGGGGTTTTGTGTAATTACTGTAAAGTAATTATTTTTCGTCTTAGGAACCATTTTGCAATTGAATTTGAAAGATATTTTCAAAAATAACATTTTTTGCAATTTCCGGAAAGTGTGACAAGTGTCACACTCTCATCGGTCCACTTGTTGACATTTGTGTGGGGACACTTTGAGGCTTTGGATGAGGACATGTGGAGGGTGAAAATTGAACCACTTGTTGACCTAAGATTGGTGCATTTGTTGGTTTGGATGGTTGACAAGTGTAGGCTTAGGATTAAGCCTACAATGGATGCTTGGATGAGTGACAAGTATATGCTCCAAATTAAGTCTTACAATTATTTTTTTTGGGCCACTTTGGGATTATGGTTTTAAAGAAGGATTTTTGTACAATTAACCATAGATGTGTGTGTTGACCATGGTGTAAGAGCACATAGTGAGTGGATGATTTTTATTTCCTCCACTCACACATTTTCTCATTATTTCATTCCTTCCTCACCAATAACCCTAGCCTCCATAGATGGAACTTGAAACCTTTGGCCTTGACCTTGATTTTTGATGGCCTTCCACTCGCCTTAGACCATGAGGCTTGGAACACTTTTTGTTCCCCTCATCCTCCTCTACATAACCCTTGAAGGGTTTGCCATTTTGTGTTGATTTGCCTTAGATTCTAGAGAGACACTTCTGTAGTGAGGTAGGGGATGTTATAGGGTTATATTTTTGTTTCTTGCATGCTATTGATGCTTATATAAGTTGTATGCATGTCTTTTGCTAATTTGAGAAATTAGTGATTTATCGTATCTTGCATATAAATCATTTTAGACTTGGTAAATGGCATGGTCATGAGTTAATCTTTGATATATATTAATTTGGTATGATTTAGATGAGTTTTCAAATCTAGAGATTAAATGGATTTAATTTGATTTAAATTCTAGTAAATTGTATTTTACTTGTATTCCATTTTAGACTTGAGATATGGTATAACAATGATTTGGTACTTTATATATATTAATTTGAGGTTATTAGGGATTGGTTTCAAATCTAGAGACTTTTCATGTTAGGTTGAAAATCCCTTGAAATGTAGTGAAATTAATTAACTTGTGAGCATATTACCAATTAGATGTAAAATTAGTACTTGTGGCCTCTTGAAATGGTAATTGGACTTAGCATGATATAGAATATCATTGACTTGTATAACTTGTTTATATATATCTTGTGTAGGTATATAACTTGTTAGAATATTACAATTGATTTCCTTGAAAGCTTGATACTAAGTTGTAGCCTATTTAGTACTTGTGGCTTAGGATGGTAATGTGGTTCAATTGTTGTAAAATATTCTTACTTTATGTATAAATTGCATATTGAGGACATGACATGTCATATGCTATTTAGACTTAAATTCTAGGACATGGTTTGTGTGGAATTAACCTTACTTGTGCATGGAATGTGGTAACTTGCATTTGATTTTGTATAAGTTTTGAACTTATTGATTTTGGAAAGCTTGTGAGGACATAAATTATATGATGGCTAGGGTTTGGCTCTAGTACGGAGACAAGAGTCTTTTAAGTCATAAGTGTGCACTAGGTGGTACCTTATGGGTCATAATTACCCGAAAATACTTGTTTGGTTTAGCGACCGCATGTCCTAGTCTTTCCACTATTTGTTGTTTTTGTATTTAATTCCAAGTTGTTAATTATGGAGTACTTGTAGCTTGAGAATTGATGTTTGTTTGGGGTAATTGAATACTATTTAGTATACTTGAACTTGTATACTTGTTCCGTGAGTTTAAATTGCATGTAGTATACTTGTGACGTGTATACTTGTCTCATGAGCAATCCTTTTCGCTTAATATACTTGTGGTTGTGTACTTGATTCATGAGATTTCCATATTAATGTATACTTGTGTAGATATGCTTAGACATTGCATGACTTGTCTTAAAATGGTTTAG